AAAAACAACAACATTCCGCGGAGGATTATGAATTATTATTTCATTATTCATTATTATTCATTATTATTATTGTTATTCATTATTATTCATTATAACCGTTACTTAGACTTAAGAGAAACAACATGAAGGATAATTTAATTAAAAAAGAAAGCAAGCAAAAACAACCTGACGTTTAAATGTTACCAGCGATCAGAACCACACGGCCACACTACAAAATTTAAATCTTCGCGCCGACAATGATGCCAGCGATCAGAACCACACGGCCACACTACAAAATTTAAATCTTCGCGCCGACAATGTGACCAGCGAGCAGAACCACACGGCCACACTACAAAATTCAAATCTACGCGCCAACAGTGTGGCCAGCCCTCCGAACCAAACGGCCACACTAGCAGCTGATCATAACCACGCGTTAGTACCAGAGGCCGGAGCCAACAGCTGACTTTTGGCAATAAAAGCAGCCGCAACAGAGCCATCAGGACCATTCCATTCTTGGACTGCCAAGGGTTGATTCGCTCCCCAAGGCTTTTGGTAAGCATTGATTGCTGTGGTTCTTAGAGCGTACGATTCCTCTATAACCCCACTATCCCTGCTATATACCGTCCATTTCTTTGGAATACATTGATCACCGTGGTAGAGCGTACGATTCCTCTACCCGGTAATCTTTGCTGGTCTTCTTCCGATACATTTTTTGGAGTGCATTGTCCTCCGGCTTTCCCCTTCCTACTCAGAGCGCATTGTCCTCTGTCTCCCCAACCTTCTCCTCGGAGCGCATTATCCTCCGCAACGAACACTTCTCCTCGGAGCGCATTGTCCTCCGCAACGAACACTTCTCCTCGGAGCGCATTGTCCTCCGCAACGAACACTTCTCCTCGGAGCGCATTGTCCTCCGCAACGACCACTTCTCCTCGGAGCGCATTATCCTCCGCAACGACCACTTCTCTCGGAGCGCATTATCCTCCGCAACGACCACTTCTCTCGGAGCGCATTATCCTCCGCAACGCACACTTCTCTCGGAGCGCATTTTCCTCCGCAACACACTTCTCTCGGAGCGCATTGTCCTCCGCAACACATCTCCGGAGCGCATTATCCTCCGCAACACACTTCTCTCTCGGAGCGCATTGTCCTCCGCAACACATCTCTTCTCCCGGAGCGCATTATCCTCCGCAAACACACTACTCTCTCGGAGCGCATTGTCCTCCGCAACGCATCTCTCCCCCGGAGCGCAAGCGACCTACTGATCGCCCGGAGCACATCATACTCCGCGACCGATCCCCACCAGGTACGACCTGCACGCTGCGAGTAGCCACGTGCGGCCCTGACGACCCTGAAGGAGGACATCAAGGACGATCCAGTGAACCATTCGAGCCATACAAAAACTCTGTACAATTAAGCTAAATAAACATAGAAACTACTTTTGCCACCCTACCCGTGTCGCCTTCTTCTTGAACCTGGAGCCTTTCTTTCAGCTACCACATCCAGAGATCAAACAAATTTCTGTGAACCCCGGCGCGGCGAGCATACCCCGGTCAAAGCGCCGTCACAGTGGCGCCCGAGCAGGTTGTGGTAGCTTAGAATTGAAATCTCATTTATGGTCAAGATGGCAAAGGTGTGGATCAACCAAGCGACAAAAGCAGAACTGATCAGCTTTTGCGAGGAATTTGGATTGGAGAAGCCGGAAGGAGTGGAAACACTAAGGAGACAACTAATTCAGTTCACGGAAAGAAAGGATCTAAGTAAAGAGATACTGGAGAGGCTGGAACAGCTCGGAACAACCCAAACAAGGGGCAGGAGCCCAAAACCATCACCGAAAGGAATAACACAAGCCAAGCCAGCTATGGAAGAACCGCAAGGGGAACCGAAAACGGCAAAAAAGAGAACTTTATTTCCAAAGCAGATACGGAAAGGGTCACCAGAAGCAGTGGCCATTATAGATAAAATAAAGAAGTGGGATCTCACATTCACTGGAAATGGAGAACTACTCGAATTCCTCAGTAGGATGGAGGAATTAGCGGAAACATACGGGATCGAGATAGACCACATTGTATTTGCAATGCCGGTAATACTGGAGAAGAGTGCATTGGACTGGTGGCACACGAAACCCGGCCCCATAACAACATGGGAGGAGGTAAAAAGCCAGCTGAAGGAGAACTTCATGTCACCACAATACCATGAAGAACTTATAAAGATAGTATCGGAGCGGAAACAATCAGAAACGGAGACAATACGAGAGTTTATTCAAGACCTGAGAAAATTGATGAGATTCGGGACGTACACCGAGAACGAGAAACTGGACATGGCATACAAGAATTGTAGGTTACCAATCAAACTCTATGTGAAGAGAAGGGAATTCCAGACGCTATCAGAATTCATCATAACAGCGGAAGAGTTCGAGAAACTAGAGAGAGAGGCAGGCCTATCAAAGACCGTGCCCAATAATCAACAAAATAACCAGACACCATGGCAACGACCACAATGGAGACAAACAAAATGTCACCGATGTGGACAAATAGGACACGAATCGAGGGGATGCACCAGGGAACCAGTGTTATACTGTTGGACATGCAACAAAGAAGGAGTACGAACGATAGACTGCTGCAGGAAACCACAGGAAAACGCACAGGGCCCGGGACAATCCCGCGAAGCACCCGGAGCCCAAAACACGCAGAGCGGACCACCACAGATTTAAGATACGAGGACAACCAGCTCGTGGGAATGGCCAAGATCGGCGGAAAGAGGATGGAGGTGGTAATAGATACGGGAGCCACAAGAAGCATCTTGAACGGAAAAACGGCGAAAATACTACAGAACAACGGAAAGGAAGAGAAAGAAAATAGACTGATCAGACTCGCAGATGGAAGTACACAAAAAACCACGCGAACATTCCGTACCGGAGTAGAGCTAGGAGGCCAGGAAACGACATTATCATTTTTAATAATGGAGAGGCTACCAGACACGCCACTACTCGGAATGGACTTCTTAAGGGACGCAGGAACCATCATTACATGCGGAAACAGTACCGTAGTGATCAGTGGAAGGAAGAAAAAACAAAGACACGAAGAGATGGCAAGAAACTCACAACCGGAACCAACTGACAAGGAAATCGAAAAATGGATATCAACAGAAGTCCAGAAATTCGACAACCTCGGCGGAGTAAGTAACATAACAACTCATCGAATATTCCTCAAGGACGATAGACCAGTCAAACAGCGGTACTACCCAAGGAACCCAGCACAAATGGAGATCATCAACAGGGAAATAAACGAGCTGAAACGTCAGGACCTAATAGAACCGTCACGAAGTCCATACAGCTCACCAATAGTCTTAGTCAAGAAAAAAACAGGGGATTGGAGACTATGCGTCGACTACAGACTGCTAAACGAAAAAACCGAAAAAGACGCATACCCGGTACCACGGATGGACTTCATATTAAACCAACTAAGAGAGGCTAAATTCATCAGCACACTAGACCTAAAGTCAGGCTACTGGCAGATTCCGATGGAGAGGCAAAGCCGACAGTACACAGCCTTCACAGCACCTGGGCGAGGCTTGTACCAATGGAAGGTAATGCCGTTCGGACTCACCACAGCACCCGCAACGTTTCAAAGGGCATTAGATTCGGTTATAGGACCAGACATGGAGCCGTTCGCTTTCGCATACCTAGACGATATAATCGTCATTGGGCGAACGAAAACAGAACACATGCAGAAGCTTCAGGAAGTGCTGAACCGATTAAGGAGAGCAAACTTACGCATCAACGCAGCGAAATGCCACTTCTTCCAACAGAAGTTGAAATACCTGGGACACATGGTGAGCGAGGAAGGAATACACACAGATCCGGACAAAGTATCAGCCATCAGAGAACTGGTGGCACCAACAACACTAAAACAACTACACAGTTTTCTGGGGCTAGCATCGTGGTATCGAAGGTTCGTACCGACCTTCACCGAGAGAGCGAAGCCACTACAAGAACTACTGAAGAAAGGACAGAAATTTACGTGGGGAGAAGCCCAAGACAGTGCTTTCAACGATCTGAAACACTGTTTAACAGAGGCACCCATTCTGGCCTGCCCAGATTTCCGAAAAACCTTTATCCTACAAACGGACGCAAGCGATTGCGGACTAGGAGCGGTTTTAACACAGGAGGATGCAGACGGAGAACACGTAATCTCATACGCAAGCCGCAAGCTAAAAAACGAGGAAACTAAATATTCCGCTACAGAGAAAGAATGTCTCGCCATCTACTGGGGAATTCACAAAATGAGGATGTACCTCGAGGGATACCAGTTCGTAGTGATAACGGACCACTTAGCCCTGAAATGGTTAAATTCCATCGAAAGCCCATCCGGCCGAGTGGCAAGATGGGCGTTGGGACTACAACCATTCACATTCGAAATACGCTATCGGAAGGGGAAGCTCAATGCAGTGGCGGACGGATTATCCCGCTTACCACGCGAAGAGGTGAGAATCACAGAGCTGGTGGAATGCGCTTGGTACGAAGCAAAATGGAAACAGATACAAACAAACCCGAAAATAGCAGAAGACTACACTATAAAACACGGACGATTATACCGACACATACCAAGCCAAACGGATGAAGACATCCAACCATGGAAGCTGTGCGTGCCAAAACAAGAAAGGCATAGGGTATTAACGGAAAACCATACGAACCCAACGGCAGGCCACCTAGGGATACGACGCACAAAAATAAGGATCCGACAACGATATTTTTGGCCAGGGATAAGCAGAGATGTAACAAAGTTCATCAGGAAATGTGAAAGCTGCCAAAAATTCAAAATATCGCAACAAGCAGCGGCGGGAAAAATGCTAACAAAAATCGCAGATGCCCCGTGGGAAACGATATGTGTCGATTTCGTAGGACCACTACCAAGAACATCACACGGGAACACAATACTCATCGTATTTATCGATAAATTTTCGAAATGGATAGAGGTGACACCAGCGAGGAAAGCAACCGCCGATACATTCATAAAAGCGTTCCGAGAAAAAATACTAGCACGAGGAGGAACACCAAAACAGCTGATATCAGACAACGGCGTGCAATTCACGAGCAAAAAAACCAAACAGGTAATGCAGTTATGGGGAATTAAGCAGCAATTCACGGCACCATACACGCCCCAAGAAAACCCGACCGAAAGAGCGAATCGAACATTGAAAACCATGATAGCACAGTACGCGGGGGGAAAACATAATAAGTGGGACGAGCACTTACCAGAATTAACACTCGCGATCAACAGCAGTCGATCAGAATCAACAGGATTTACGCCAGCATATTTATTGTTCGGACGAGAGCTACGGCTGCCAGGAAATCTGTTTGACGAGGTAACATTAGGATCAGGGTTCACAAAACTAACGACACAAGAAAGTGCAGAAGCACGACAAAGCGCGGAAGCATTAGCAAGACAAAACATGGAGGAAGCAACAGCAAAACTCGAGCCAAAATACAACGGTCCTTGTAAGGTCCTCGAACTCGTGTCCCCAGTAATAGTAACAGTCAAAGACACCTCTACTAACAAAAAAAGTCGAGCGCACATATCACATCTAAAACCCGCAAGCAAAGAAAAGCAAGAAACAGTCACAATAACGACACCTCTCTTTCTTTGCAGAATCATGGACAAATTTAATAATAGCGCACGGAATTTCAAGAAAAAAATGGAAGAAAGTAAGGCGAAACAACGCAAGGTGGAGGTCATACCACCGCTACCACAGCTAGGAGGAAGGATGAGGGTGTCCGGCACCAAAGTTGTGGCACCAAAAAGAACAGCAAAAGCCAGCGAGACCACGACCAGTCCAGCAACCATGGCACTAGAGGCGGCAGGGACCGAAGAGACCAGGAAGAAAAGAATAAGCTGGGCCAACAACACCAGACCCGAGCCGGCTCAACCAAGGGCCAATAAGCGGGTCAGCTGGGCACGACAAGTAGAGCAGGAGGAAATAGACAACGATATATTGGACATCGGAGGACCAGCCAATAGTCAAAACACAGAAGTACGGAGGACGAATCCAACACCAAACACGGCATCTCAGGGTCGACCACCACGAAAAGCAGAGGCACAGACATCCGGCCAGGAGACAACAAAGACCAACAAAACATGCATAAAGGCCGCCATACCCAGCAACTGGGAGGTTCCCCAGGGGTGCGAGCTCAGCAAAAATCAAGTGGCAACCATCCAGCGAGCGATCGATGACCGGAAAAGCCACCACCAAAGACGATTCAAGCTGTGGAGCGAGGAGATACCAGACCGGGCATGCTGGGTGAAAATCGGCAGATCGGGAGACGTGCGTCTAGGCAGCTGGTTCAACGCAGCGGGGACATCCGGACGACCCACCCAAGAAGGGGAGGGGGGAGTGTGACGCCCAGCGCCAAGCGTCACAAAAAACAACAACATTCCGCGGAGGATTATGACATTATTATTTCATTATTCATTATTATTCATTATTATTATTGTTATTCATTATTATTCATTATAACCGTTACTTAGACTTAAGAGAAACAACATGAAGGATAATTTAATTAAAAAAGAAAGCAAGCAAAAACAACCTGACGTTTAAATGTTACCAGCGATCAGAACCACACGGCCACACTACAAAATTTAAATCTTCGCGCCGACAATGATGCCAGCGATCAGAACCACACGGCCACACTACAAAATTTAAATCTTCGCGCCGACAATGTGACCAGCGAGCAGAACCACACGGCCACACTACAAAATTCAAATCTACGCGCCAACAGTGTGGCCAGCCCTCCGAACCAAACGGCCACACTAGCAGCTGATCATAACCACGCGTTAGTACCAGAGGCCGGAGCCAACAGCTGACTTTTGGCAATAAAAGCAGCCGCAACAGAGCCATCAGGACCATTCCATTCTTGGACTGCCAAGGGTTGATTCGCTCCCCAAGGCTTTTGGTAAGCATTGATTGCTGTGGTTCTTAGAGCGTACGATTCCTCTATAACCCCACTATCCCTGCTATATACCGTCCATTTCTTTGGAATACATTGATCACCGTGGTAGAGCGTACGATTCCTCTACCCGGTAATCTTTGCTGGTCTTCTTCCGATACATTTTTTGGAGTGCATTGTCCTCCGGCTTTCCCCTTCCTACTCAGAGCGCATTGTCCTCTGTCTCCCCAACCTTCTCCTCGGAGCGCATTATCCTCCGCAACGAACACTTCTCCTCGGAGCGCATTGTCCTCCGCAACGAACACTTCTCCTCGGAGCGCATTGTCCTCCGCAACGAACACTTCTCCTCGGAGCGCATTGTCCTCCGCAACGACCACTTCTCCTCGGAGTGCATTATCCTCCGCAACGACCACTTCTCTCGGAGCGCATTATCCTCCGCAACGACCACTTCTCTCGGAGCGCATTATCCTCCGCAACGCACACTTCTCTCGGAGCGCATTTTCCTCCGCAACACACTTCTCTCTCGGAGCGCATTGTCCTCCGCAACACATCTCTCTCCCGGAGCGCATTATCCTCCGCAACACACTTCTCTCTCGGAGCGCATTGTCCTCCGCAACACATCTCTCTCCCGGAGCGCATTATCCTCCGCAAACACACTACTCTCTCGGAGCGCATTGTCCTCCGCAACGCATCTCTCCCCCGGAGCGCATTATCCTCCGCGACCTACTGATCGCCCGGAGCACATCATACTCCGCGACCGATCCCCACCAGGTACGACCTGCACGCTGCGAGTAGCCACGTGCGGCCCTGACGACCCTGAAGGAGGACATCAAGGACGATCCAGTGAACCATTCGAGCCATACAAAAACTCTGTACAATTAAGCTAAATAAACATAGAAACTACTTTTGCCACCCTACCCGTGTCGCCTTCTTCTTGAACCTGGAGCCTTTCTTTCAGCTACCACATCCAGAGATCAAACAAATTTCTGTGAACCCCGGCGCGGCGAGCATACCCCGGTCAAAGCGCCGTCACAAGTTTGATTACTGTCTCCGGCCAGCGTCGATGCGCTGACCCTCCGCCGTTTGTGACGAGACATGGCTAGAACCATGGTGCGTTACACTCCACGAACTAAAAAACTCGGCATAAATGGAAAACCACCGCTCCAAATGTGACCTAAGGATTATTAGTTTTGGTGAAGGAATACAACCTTCCAGTAATGAAGTGGCCAATGGGTCGCATCATTAAAACTTACCCTGGGCAAGACAGCCATGTACGAGTGGTTGATGTCAAAACATCGTCCGGTGTATACAAACGCCCCATCAGTCGTCTCGCCCCATTATTATGTTACCTTCACTAACATCCACATTGTTAGTGTTACTTCTCATGCTGCCTTTAGCATTTTCACAATCAATAAATGTGACGCAATTTGCAAACAATCCTGGAATATTCTATGAGAAACTTGGAACCTCAAGAATGACCACTTCCGAATGGACCATGATTATATACTACGACTTGGATCCATATTGGAAGGATATGCAAGTCATGTCAGCCGGAATGTCCGAACTAAGACACATGTGCCTGAACTAAAAAATGTTCCAGCGTGCAACTCCATATTTCAACACTTTCAACATTTGTATTGGAACAACAAATGGCAACCATCAGCCGAGGGAAGAGGAACATATCACGGCGATAATCTAATTCAGTCATACCTAGGGCTCACAGCCCAACTAACTCTGCTGACAACGAGTCTTCAACGTATGCAGTCTGACATATCTGATGTATTAATCGGCACTCACCATCGGACAATAAGCCCAACGCTAGTATCTCCTGAGCAATTAAGAGAGCAACTAGACCAAATCCGGGATCACTTGCCAGCTGATCAAATGCTGCCTGTCACAACACAAAATGTGATACAATTATACAGGCTCATGCGAGCCGAAGGAACACTGACTGCCACACACGTCATTTTGAAGGTGACACTACCGTTAGTTTTAACAGTTCAGCTCGAAGTTTTCAGTATCATGCCGATTCCGGTCTGGGACGACCCTAATCACTGGGAACACTCACCGAGATCAATTCATGGGATTTACTCCCGAAGAATTTCGACACTGCTTTAAACTACTTAACGTAGAATACATCTGCTTTGATCATCAAACAGTCTTCAATGTCGACAATCGCTGTGAGTTTCAGTTGTTTAACAATAAAACAGCACCTTTATGTGAAGTGACCCACACGAAGGTGGACATGGTGTGGTCCGAAACTCAGCAAGCAAATAAATGGATTTTTGCAACACACTCTACAATGAGACTTCAGGCAGTTTGCAACGGGTCTCCGTCAACCATACAACTGGAAAGAACTGGCTTACTCTCACTGTCACCTGGATGCACCGATCGCAATACAGAAATAAGCATCAGTACCTTCAGCACAACAATCAGTGAAGTCAAATCAATATACCCTCGATTTGGGGACATACGCTTACCAACGACAACCCCTTCGCCAGCAACTGTACAATTGGAGAACCAGACATCAGACTATATTCAAGAATTGGAAGATTTACGCCTGCAATTAGTGGCAATCAATCAACAAAGGCTGCCACACCATCTCAACACAGTGCAGCATCATCAAATCGCTACTTATGCTGCCTTAGCAATATCAATGCTATTGATCATTGCGATCATTCTCCGGAATAAGTATCAATCATGAAACCCAAGGCCGTCAACAATCAACCAAGCAGAGCCACGCGGATCATCACCACCGATCCCCACTCCACGCCGCTTTTCAGTCGAATTGGGCAATGGTTGAATACCAGTTCAACGGCGGGAGAATGTTCAGTCGCATGTTTATGCATTAATTAATATTACATAATATACACTTATCGAATAAGTCAGGTCGACCCATGTAACGGGAGACATAATAATAAACGACAAAGCATTGTAGCTGAGTCAACAATAACCGCTTCTGCAGCAATTTCTGCCATCGATGCGATCGCTCTTCAGAGGACAAAAACACTGGTGCAATTGCTGACTATCACAATTGCCCAATAACACAATATCATATTAAATCCAAATTAATTCAATATTAATTCCAATTCCCTTTTACCATATTCTTACTAGACTCAGCACTTTCTGTACCTTTTGTTACCTATAAATAGAATTTAAGTTTGTTAAATCAGTATCAGAAACAGTACCAATACTGCCTGTTCACTCATTCTCTACAACTGCAATCAACAGAGGCTGTCGCCGTGTCTTCAGACCCTTATTTGCTCGACGTAGGAAACTCTCTCCGCTGTCCAACTGGTTCAAGTTATAGTCGCGACTACAAATTAGTAAACGGTTTATGTACCAAATCACACACACACACAAACACGTGGAAATTAATTCAGAAAATAAAAAGAGAATTCTGGATTAAATGGAAGGAAGATTATTTACACACTCTGCAACAAAGAAATTAATGGAAAATAGAAATGCAGAATATTAAAAAAGGGCAGATTGTATTAATAAAAGATGAAAACTGTCACGCAGCTAGATGGCCTTTGGGAAAAATAGAAGAAATACATAAACGTAAAGACGATAAAGTACGAGTAGTGACTGTTTAGAGTGAGGACGGCGCTGGCGGGGCAACAGCTCTGTAGGCATTCCAGCCACACCACTGTTAGAAATCCAGCTACGCAAGCTGTTGCCCTCGCTCTCGCTCTCACGCTTAGGAGCGTTTTTCCCCCCGTTGACGCGCTCTCGCGCGAATACTCACCGCCGACAGCCGTCGGCAGCTGACTTCGACGGGAGTAATCAATTCGCTTTTCCACCCTAAGCAAAACGGCCGGTTTTTTGCACGCGACTACCTATTTAGCTAAGTGACTAAAACTACGAATAAATCTGTACATATTGAAGAACTTGGACCGCTGCATCTCGTATTTATTTTGGGAATCGATCCTGGGATTTCGCACCGCCTCTACGCTCAAACATTGGTCCTTCGAGCCGGATATACTTCGCCTTCCCCAACCATATCCAGCCTTCGAGCACGGCATCGCCTTCACCACCAGGATCCCAAGATAAGTACGAGTTTCGTGTGCCACAAATCCCTTCCATTCGCGATTTGTGTTCCAAAATTCCGAAAAGTCCGAGTTCCGCGATATAAGTACATATATATATTCTTATATATGTACTTATTTCTTCATTCTGTGCCATCCGTTATCCGTGTCTCTTCCTTTTTCGACACCGCCATATTACACTAGTCAACACGATTTTTCCTCAAGGAACAAAACGAACTTTTTCTTAAAGATTTGAGGCTTAGAAATGGTTTGATGATATTTTTTTTTTTTTCTATGGCAGAACTTTTTTTTAAAGAATTTTTGAAAACTGGTATTTTTTTTAAGCTTTTTTCAGAGCTAGCGCTTGTTTTTTTCACATAACTCTAGTATCTTACATCTGGTTGTAAAAACTTTGCTATTTTGAAAAGATAATTGAAAATGATGCTAGCGTCTCGCATAGCCATCGACGCCGAAGAGTTAATCGACGGCATCGTCGAGGGTATCCCAGATGAGACACTGCGCCGTCAGGCCCATATGCAGTGTTTCGTCGCGCCGTATCAGCTGCTGAGGGCTTTCGAGAAAGTCATGCTGCCGAAGAAGTACACGCCACCAGGAGCAAGG